ATGCACTTGAGTCCCTCCTCCCGCCCGACGTCACTTTCCATCAGAACTGGTATAACGACAGTCCGAGCGGACGCACTGACGCCGACCTGCTTCCTTATCCCTTTTCGCTACCCCCGCGGCAAGACTCCCACATCCATTTCGCCGGGTCTCAGACCACACTCATCAATACGGTACCGGAGACGAACACATTCCACCACAGAAATACCAATTTTGCTTACGATTTTCTGGACAAGCCAGGAGAGGCGCAGGCGTTCGGTGAGGCTGGTCAATACCCCGATCTATTCATCGTACCTACACCACTCGCGGGTACTCCGCCCATTAGCTTCCGACCTACAGGCTCCCCGATTTCATCTTCATCCTCCTCATCATCTTCCTCATCCGCCTCTTCAGTAGCTGCGTCACCGAATCAGCAGATGCTCCTGGCCGGTGACCCCTCCATGGCCTTCAGTGAGGTCTGGGGATTGTCAGGCAGGGAGCAGCAGCAGCAGCAACATCAACAGAACACGGAACCTCCTGATTGGCCAGTCAGCGCTCCCTTTAAAGCCACACCGGCCAACGTTATGTCACAGTTTGAAGTTGTTACAACCTAGAGATACATCTCTAGTCCCCTTCACCACCCCCACACCCAGCTTCATCGGGCTTTCATCATAAACAGCACTCTAAACTTAAACTACTCGGGAAATCTGCTCCGGCTTAATATGTAAAATGTATATAAATATACATAAAAATGCGCATTCTATTTTTAAATTTCCTGCAATACCTGTGACTATCGTTAACTCTGGCTGGTTGTGGCCGATAATAGGAGCCCACCAAAGGCTGTGAGAGTCCCCAAGTGAAGAGATGTAAGACGAATTTAAAAAAGGGCCAGCTTAAACCATAAACATTGTTATGGAAGGGGGTAAATCGTCATATAGGAAGTCCGTTGAGGGCGTAAGAGGTACAGGATCATGTAGAGCAAATGCGCACACATTCAAAACGCAAACAGGAAACAAAAATCAAGCCAGACGATGCGGAGAAGCATCTGCTGCATAAGGCGAGTGTTGAAGACCGTTTAAGA